AGACCCTCAGATTGAGGAGCCCCACAGAACAAAACACAGGACAGATGAAAAAGAGACCCCCAGAGTAGACCATCTCTCTGAGACTGGAGAGCACAGAATCGGCACAGGATGACAAGTAACTCAGAGCCCGGGGTCTCCTGTGAATCCCCGGATGTGGGGAAGAGACCCCTGACTCCCTGTGCGGATCATACAAGCTCAGTACATCTGCGTTCACCAACTGGGTTGCATCTACCCCGCTCCACCTGCATCATCTCTGCTGTAACATTCTACAGCAGACGTCACATCACTTCCCCCATAAATACCTGCGCACAAGTCTCCAACAGTAAAGCCTTTCATTAACACCATCCGTGTTATCCTGACATCTCACGCTGCTCACTGCGACTCCACAATGTCAGTTGACACCAGTGAGAGCTCCACTTTCCCCAACTGAATCAAAGTTGGTTTGTTCAAATGATGATGCAAACAAGTTCCGCAGATCCATTCGGTCGGTTGATGTTTCTAAACCCAGTCTAGACCCTGGCAATTACCTCGGTGCTTGTTTCTTAATGCCCATTACTTGTTGAAGAAAACAGGGTTATTTTTCCTGTAAAGTTTCCGACTTTCTGGATGTGGCTGATTGCGTCCCTAAGGTGTCCCTGAACATGTTCTCCGCTCTCTGTGATTTCTGTCACTGTCATGGTCTGGAGGAGACACGTCAGAGTCAGGTTCATTTCCTCCAGGTGCTGCGTTCTTCCCACTCCATCAAATCCAGAGTCGTGAAATGTCAGGCTGTCCCAGCTTTGGGTCAAGACCAATAAGTGGCTTGATGCTTTCCTTTCTGAAATCCAGAACACCTAGTTGGTGCCACTAAGGAAGGTGGCTCTGGGACCTGTCTTAGACCCAGCAGGGGCTCCATCCCATGAGAAGATGGAAATGGGCCCATGGTTGTGTGAGAGTGTGGCCGGAGGCCGTGAGTAGAGATCCGGGAGGATTTCCGGGGAACCCAGCACCCAGCCCTGTGAGGGGAGACAGGGCGGCTCAGGGCCAGCGCGAAATGAAAGGTGGTCCCTGGACGAAAAGTGGATCATGGAGGGCACATTAGGCCCACACAGGCGGCCTTTCCTTTAGAAGTGGCAGGGGTAATGGTGACACATGCACGTTTCACCTGCACCGTCTTCATGCCTGAACTCTCATTGCTGTGTTCCTGGTAATCCCACCCATGCTGCCCTGATTGCCTTCAGCCCTCACCAATCCTGCCCACGTCATCCCCATTCCTCTAACTCTCTCTCTTGCTCCCTGAGTGCCAAACAAACCCTCCAGACTCGAGCTTGTTGGAACCTCAGGACCTTTGCACTGGCGTTGCTCCTGGCTCCAGAAGACAAATACAAAAACAAATGGAAATAACACTCAGTTCACAGATTTCTACGGGAACCAAGCTTTGTCCTTACCTCAGTGCCACTGACAGCCACTCAACCTCCTGAGGCTCTCCTATGCCAGGGCTGTCACCTCCATCCAGGGCTGGAGCTGAGCTGAGCATCCAATTGCCTGTGGTCACTGGACCCTCCTGCTGTGCTTCAGAGAACCCACCGATGTCTCCCGGCCAACAGTGCCCCCTGGCAGCCCCTCTGAGCCGAGCTAGTTCACCAGTAGTGCAGCAGGTGGGGCTCCCATTTGCCACCTGAGACCCCTGTGCTGAGCAGTTCAGGCTGTGCGGGTCCATGCACTCGTTCCCAAGTCCTGATTGAGTCTGCACTGTGCTGTGGCTATTGTTGACACAGAATGGAGCAGGGACCAAACGACAGAGACACTGTTCTGGGGCTCCAACCCTCTGGGGAGGGAGAGAGGAGCGATGAAGAGACGATGCAGCACGTGTCAGCTGCAAGTCCCGAGAGGGTGGGGTGCTCTTCACACAGGCCAGGTGAGCATCTATTTGCACATTACAGAAGTGAAGAAGACAGTGCAAACTGCAGGCGGTTCACACTGACTGCAGCTGTGCAGGCTGAGGGCCGCACACGTGCCCCAGTGCTCGCAGCTGGAGCCCCAGCTTGAGCCGAGTGGGCACCAGTTCAGGTGACAGGTCAGTGCAGTAGGATGCACACCCTGATCACAGCATTGCACACTAGACGAATCAAAGGTGCATTGAGTCCACGCTTTCCTTACATTTGTACAACTGTTCTTTATAGCCATAGAAAGTGTGAACCCCAGAGCATCTGGATCCACCGCCTTTCAAACAGACGGGACAGGGAGTCCTGCCTCATGGGCCAGGAGAGCCACACATGACACACCAGACAACTGCTTCGTTTCTTCTTTCTGCCCAGAATTTACAGATCTCTCCTCTTGGCCCAAGAAGGAGACGTCAGGAGGGACAGATATGGGTGTACTCGATTCAACAAGAGCCCCTGAGGCCCAAGCGGAGGTTCAGTGGGAGGGGGCCAGGGCCCCCAGGGGCAGGAGATAAGCATTTCCGGTGAGGAGCCCACTCGCCCACGGGAGAGTAACCCCTCCCCAGCTCAGCCACACCGCAGCCCCTGAAGCTCTGACAGCTAAGCCCTGGCATCCTTCTTCTCAGGTATTCTCGTCCAGAAAAAACTTCTTTCACTCCTGGGCATGAAAGAGACTTGACACTATCAACACGGATGCACACAGTTACAGGAAAACACGCACATGTGTGTGTGCGCGTGTGTTTACATCACAGTAGGGAGTCATCCATTTGTTCCCATTTATTATTACTTATCAAGTATTGGTGACTTTTATCAACACCTTTTCAGGAACGGGGAGATGATCAGATGGGTTTTTTTTCCCTTCAATCAATGTGGTAAAGTATTTTAGTAGATTTATCAATTGGGCATATTTGCAGGCTGGGTACGAGTCATTTACTGCCACGACACGTCATTGTGTAAATGTGATGTGGATTTGACTCAGCAGTTTTCATTCAGCAACTTGGCATCCTTTCTGTTAGTGAGCGAGGCTGTAATTCTCTGCTACTGTCCCACTTTTGTCAGGTTTTCACAGCAACCTGATGGTGGCCTCCTGAAAGGACTTTCCTTTCTTTCTTTGCTCTCTAACAACTCTAAGCAATGTGTGCGTGGTTGCTCATGAAGGAACTGGAGGGAACCGACTGGGAACTCACACAAGGTGGCTTCCTCCCTGTGGGGGCTCTCACAACTTTCCAGATGATTCCACAGTCACTGCTCTGTTAGATGTGCCAGTTCTTCTGGTGTCACTTATAGTAATGGCGACATGTGCGTTCCTAGAAAACTCTTTCCTGTTAGCTATGTTGTTTAATTTTTCACTTGCCAACATTAAACATGTTGATTTTTTAAATTTCCTTGAAATGTTAATTCCACGTTTTCATCTCTTGCTTCTGGCCGATGCCTCCCCCATTGGCGCTCTGGACTTCAGCTTTTTCAAAGCAGCAAAGCAGCCGCTCTTCAGTTCCGTGTTAGCCTTGTGTGCCCTGTCCAATCCACGCACTCCCGCCTCGTTTGATGAATCCCTCTCTTTACCTTCCCTGCGTTCCCTTGGCCATTTCCGTCCTAAACTAGTAACCTCTCTCGACTGCTTTTTTGTAGGAGAATAAATCGCCCATGTTTGTGTCAGTCATTTTTTCTGTTACATGCAGCTCAACCTAGTCTCCATTGATTCAGACATTTAGTTCTTTTCTGTAGTTGCTGTTATACTCGTAGAAGCCACACTAACCATGATTAACCTATCTGCTTGTTTCCTTGTGCACACGGATTAGAGATTTCTCCCACATGAATGATGAACCAGCATCGATGATCTGATGGAGGTACGTGTGGCAACACCCGGTGTGGGTCGGAGGGGATCTGGTGTACATGGCAGATCAGGGGATGGGTCAGGCTGACATGGACATGCGGGAAAGTGCCCAGAGAGTTGGCGCAGAGAGAGAAGCTAAGAGGGAGCGCAATGCCTGATGCGGAAGCAGGAGGGAAGAGGGAGCCACACAGGATGGTTCTCTGGCTTCCAGATGGATCCTGGGGCTGTTCACCAAGATGGGAGGGGAGCAGGTGGAGGAGAAGACCACAGTTGGGGCACGCAGAGTGAGCCACCTGCAGGTCCAAGGGGCTCTGGAGGCAGGGGCAGATGCAGGCTGGCATCAGCAGCCTGTCAGTGGCCTGGGGCCCATGTGGCTGGATGCCCACAAGGCGGGCCAGGGTGAGGAGAAGACTTCTGAGGGGGATTGCAGCCGAGGCAGGAAGGGGCAGGGGACAGGATGATTTGGCTCTCCTGGTTGATGGGGGGCGGCCCTGGAGTCTCCAGTTTCTCCTCCTCCCCAGCCTTCCTGAACCGCAGAGCCATTCAGTTCCAGTCCCGAGGTGAATTAGGTCCTGCCCCACGCCCTCCTGAGGCCTGGGGGCAGAGGTGGCAGAGCCCCTCCCACCTGTGGCCGTATCTTCTGTGAGAGGCTGGGAGGCACCGCTGGAGGCCGTGGGCTCACTGCAGCAGCTTTCTGGAGTCTGTCCCCATTGCCCGGGTGAGACATGGGGGGAGCCGCAGTCCAGTGTCATCACTGACCTATGGGTGTCGCGAGGTAGCTGTGGCTGAAATAGCCAACCAGCAGCCCTGGTGGCTCTTGATCCCTGGACCACGTCACAGCAGGTGCTCGGGAGCCAACTCAGTGGACCTAAAGATGATGAAAGGACCAGCGGGAATGAAGGATTTGCAAACATCTGGTCCTGTCTGAAACGTCCACGTGTAGAAAACGTCCCTGGGTTCAAAGAGCCCACAACGTTGACTTACACTTTTGGTTTGCAAGATGAATAAATAAAAGTACCATCCTGCTTCACTGGTCCAGTAACTGCGCTGTGGTTGTCCTGCCCATAATCCCCCTTCTTGCCTGGGACACTCACGGGTAGCAGCACAGGGGTTGGTAGATGGGTGGGTACAATCCCGAGAAGAGCAGGATCAACGTCCACTCCGTGCCTGGGGAAAAAGTCCTACAGTCAGGGGCGCAGAGAATGGCACATTGAGGGCAGGACCTCGAGATGTGGGGCGTAACCATGTCGCTGGGCATCTGGGTGGACATGGCTGGTGCGTCACTCTGGACAAGTTTGGAAGGAGGAGTGGCGTCACGTGCTATGTGAACTGGCTGGGAACACACTGAAATGAACACGTCGATGTGAACACATGACAGAGCAACTCACCGTGTTCTCTCCCGCAGAGAGGCCTGTGTCATGGCCGCCATGAGGGATACCAGGCATCTAATTCTCCTCCACAATTACCCCACTGCCAGGGCTAGTTGGAGATATTTCCCTTGAGTCAAAGTCCTGTGCAGGTAGGATCGCGGTAGACCACAAGAAATGTCTCCACTATTTGGAGAGGTGTTAGTGGGTGACCCAGCCAGGCCAAGTGGGGTGTGGAATCCATAAGACATTAGTAAGGTTCCCCTACAAGTAAACCTGTGAGCTAGTCAGACGGCCACAAAAGAAGAAAATAACCCCTCTTCTGCTGCCTGACAATATGACATCTTTATTTGAAAGTTCTCAGTGGAATATGGCAGAAATAGCGTGCTCACAAAAAGAAAAGCCAGGGCAACAGTGTAATGGTTTTGTTACCATTGCCATTCCTTCAACAGAGATAGCAGTGAAAGGTCCCAGGGCTGTGAGAGGGGAGACTCTACAGGCCCAATATACAGCTAGTCGAGGTTTGCACGACAGGACAGTCACTCAAGACGTGACAGGAAAACATCACACTGCGTAGTGTCAAGAGGAAGCAAGGAAAACCCTGAGGAGGTTAGAACGAGGCACAGAAGACCCACATGCAGCACCATCGCAGGCGCCTGGATGATTCTCCATGGTATTCATGATGAAGAGGTCCTGCTAGTGCTTCCAGAAAGAAACTCAGACAGAAGCAAGTAAATAGGATTCAAAACAAACATCGACCCCCAGTCCCAATTTCACTGTATGACATTGCGATTCCAGAAGGCTATAAAGTGACCAGACTCAGAGAACCACTTCTTATGCACGATTCTGGTGCTCAAGATGACGAGAGAATTCTAATTTACACAACCTACGACAGTATCCGATATTTAAGTGGCAGTACAACAGCATTCAGTGAGGGCACCTTCAGCCGGCACCGACACAGTGCACTCAACTATCTACTGTGCACGCTGTAGGACTAGGTTGTACGACGCCAGTGACTTACGCACGAAGAGGAAAAGGCGGGGAGACATTTACAGACACATGCAGGAGAAAGCATTCACGTTTGCTGGGGAAAGAAATCCTGACGTTAACCCTTCATCGCACATGATGGATTTCGAGATTGCAAACATGCATGCGATTCAACTACTCCTACCAAATGCACAAGTAAAACGATGCTTGTGTCACTTTCCACAATCACTGTGGCAAAAAGTACCTTCTCTGGATCTAACACACGAGTGTAGGACAATGGAAAGTGACAGCCGTAAGTGTGCGTCCATGTTGTCTGGACTTCCATTTGTGCCTTTGGAAGATGTAAATGAAATTTTGAATACATTGTGGAGAACGCAGAAGAAAACTTAGATGACCTAACAGGTTATGTTGAGAGCACGTGTGTCCGTGGAAGGCGTGGCAGAAGCAGAAGACCAGAAGCCCCAAGATTTCCATCAGGAACTTGGCATGTCTATGCCTCAGGACTGAACGGCGATCACAGGATGAACGACGCAGCGGAAGGCTGGTGTAACACATTTCCAGAGCTGCTGGTGCTGCACCAGCCCTCAAGGTGGACATTTATGGAAGTGTTAAAAGACGATCAGGAAAGCAATGAACAAGTTACCATCCTGGTTCTGGGTGGTCACACGCAATTAGAGCCGCCAACTCACAATGATACCAACACAATCAAATTCGTGTAACTGAAATTGTTTACAGATATAAGGAATATAAAGCCACTAATCAGGCTGATATATACTTGAGAGCAACTGCTCATCGACTTAAGAGTAACTGCCGAACTTCAAGATGAGGAAGAACAAGAATAAATGTGAAACCCAAAATTCATCATGAATTATAATAATAATAACGTAAAATTTTAACAGAGTTGAATGTTTCTATTCTTTAACAAAACAGGGACCAAATGTCTCCGTGGATGCCCTGGACAGGACCAAATGTCCCACAAGGTCTCCCAGAACAAAAGTTTTTAATTTTGACAAGGTCAGTTTTATTGAGGAGACCTGGCATGTTCCCTTGTTGTCTTCTGGTCCGTGAACACGGGTGTCTCTCGTTTATCTGGGTCTCTGAGATTTCTTTTGTCAGCATTTTGTGATTTTCAGCACACAGTTCCGTATAGGTTTCTTCCTGAGCATCTTATTTCCTGGGGAGAGATGCCAAATGGTGTTGTGTTTTCACCTCGGTTCCCCATGGTCACTGTCAGTGCGCAGAGCCCGGTGGTTTCAGCGGCCTGACCTGTATTCCGGGACCTTGCTGAGCTCCCGCCTCGTTCTAGGCGGGCTTCTGTCGATGCCCTGAGCTCTTCCATGGGGACAAGCACGTCCTGTGCACAGAGGCAGTTTGCTTTCTTCCTTCCCCATCTGCTGGTTTCCTCACCTTGCGGAGGGGCTGGAACTTGTGGGGCTGAGGGGAGCGCAGAGCCGACAGCCCGGTCCCGCCGCACGCTCAGAGGAGGGCGCCCGCCTGTCGCCGTTCAGCGGGTCGTCACTGGGGTGTCTGTGGACGCTGCTCTCCGGTGGAGGAGGCGCCCCTGCCGTGGTCCTGCTGGGAGTTTTGACATGAGAGGGCGCTGAGGGACCGGGTTTAAGGATAACTAGGAGTTTCAGGATGTGGGAGCCCGGCATCCCCGGCAGCAGCATCCTTTCCGGCTCGGACTTGGGGGCGTTGGGAAATCACCCCCTTTGTGACTCCGGGCCGCTTTCTCCGGGAAGACGACCGGGTGGCGCCGACTGGCATCGCTGGACTCGGGAGGAGCGGCAGACACTGTCTCATTTCTCTGCCCATCGCCTCAGGACGACCGCGCGAGGCGCCGCCTGACCTCCTGGAGCCCCGGGGACTCGGGGAGCCGGAGCGGCTTCACGAGGGGCGGGCGCCATCCCAGCAGGTCACGGACGCCCGCCACAGCCCACGCGGGGGCCCGGCTGCCACGCTGGCCCGGGGGCGGCGTGTCCTGGGGCGGCCGAGGCTGCGGGGCGCAAGCAGCCGGAGGACGCGCCGCTTCCCGCCTCGTCTCCCCGGGCCCGGCCGGGGTCGCCACCCTGAGGAGGAGCAGCCAGGCAAGTCGACGGCTCCCCCGACGGGGAGGGAAGGACGCGGAGCGGCCCCGCGCCCACCCGAGAGGCGGGGACCCCACGGCGTGGGCGCGGCGCCGTCACCGCCAGAGCCACTGAAGGGCGTGAGGCCCGCCCGCCGCCGGCGGAGGCGCAGCGCGGCCCGGAGCGCTGTCCACACGCGCGCCACTCGGGACGTGCGACAGGGACGACGCGGCCGGCTCCGCGGGCCAGGAGGGGACGGTGAAGACGGGCACGGCGACGGGGTCGGTGACACGGGCCTCGAAGGGACTTGAGGAGCCTGAACCTGAGGTAGCCGGTGGAGTAGAGACGGAGAGAGAGACACAGACAGAGAGACAGAGACGCACAGAGAGGGGCAGAGACGGGCGGGCTGACGGGGTGGGGACGCGCCGCCCGGCCGCAGCCAACCCTCCGGACAGGGAGCGAGTGCGCGCCGCCCGGACGCCCGCTCTGGTTTTAACCGGCTCTCGCAACTTTTCGGGGGACAAAGAACCTGAAACGACGGGAGGGGCCGCACGGCCTGCGCACGCGCCCTCCGGCGGCTCCTCACGTCTGCTCTGCGCAGGTCCGGGACGGGAGGCGGTGGCGTCTCCCGCATCTGCGCACGCGCCCTCCGACGGCTCCTCGCGTCTATCCGGCGCGGGTGCAGGGCGGGAAGCAGCGGCATCTCCCGCGTCTGCGCACGCGCCCTCCGGCGGCTCCTCGTGTCTGCTCTGCGCGGGTCCGGAGCAGGAACTGGCGGCGTCTCCCGCGTCTGCGCACGCGCCCTCCAACGGCTCCTCGCTTCTGTCCGTTGCGGGTCCAGGCCCGGAAGCGGCGGCGTCTCCTGAGGACCCGCGGTCCGGCCGTTGCTGTGGCCCAAGCCGGGAGCAGCGCGGAGAACGCGGACGGGGACGTCGCCACCCAGGAGCTCAGGCCGGCCTCTCCGGGCGGGTCCTCGGGAGCGGACGCCCTGAGGGCGTGGACACCCGCCGTGTGCGCGAATACACGCGCGGGTGTAGACACTTTGGAACATCTCTGGAAAATTCTGCCGCTTCTGAGGAGGGGCCCGGGCCAAGGGCGCTTCCACCGAGCAGCCTCAGCTCCTCTGCGGTGCCCCGCCAGGAGGCGCCCCGCGGCCTGCACCTCGCTCACCGCGCTGACCCCGAGCCCCGTCCCCACCGCGGCCACCTGGCCCGGCCCAAGAGGCCCGTCTGGTGGTTTAAACACCACCCGCCTGCAGAGCCTCCCACAGCCGCGTCTCCCCTGCTCCCCCCAGAGTCCCGGATCCCGCTGCCAGCTGGACATCATCCGCGGACGTCCACGTGGCCCAGAGCCAGCACCGCGATGACCGTGTGTGCGTGACACGATGCCCGCGGCTCTCCGCAGAAGGCGGCGGAAATCAGCGCCCCGCGAGCGTCGTCTTTCTGGCCGGATCAATGGAGCCGGGAAACAGAAGACTCGCTGTGGTGGCAGCCGCGAGGGGCACGTTGGTGGACAGGGGACGTTGGCCAGAACGTCGCGTGCATGGTTTACGTGGTCACGTCGTGCGGTCGTTGCGCTTCTCGGGCGGGTCTGCAGACACGTGTGCTCACGTGTGTGCAAAGGCACCCGCGTGTGCGAGGAAAGCAGGGCTGCTTATCTCTGTGCTTCTTGGCCTCTCAGGGAGCTGGCCGTGCCCGGAGGGTCCCCTGTCGTTTGCTTGTGCGTGGATGCGCTCGTGCGTGGTCTTCACAAGCCCAAGTGTCATCTGCTCACAGCCCTTCAGAAGGACGCCGGGGCCCTGCCCCTCTTGGCCCTGGAGCGCCGGCCTCGGCAGAATGGGACCAAGCCCCAGACTGGGCTCAGGCTGTGCACTCTCACCGCAGACATCCAGCCGACCCCAGTGAAGGCCCCTGTGCCATGAGCCCACAGAGCCTGCGCCCTCTTCTCTCACCCCTCCCCAAGCCCCCTGCGGCCCCTGCAGGAGGAGGCCGAGGTGGTTCCTGGACACGGCCAGAGCAGGAGGATGGGAAAGCTCTGGGCTTTTAGTTGTCCTTTCATAAACGGCTCCTCACTTAATGTCGCTGTGCTCAGCAGGTGTTTCCAGAAGGTCCAGATTCTGCAGGGTTTGCTGAGGTGTGCTTCTTCCCTGGGGTCTGATCCATTTCTGTCATGGACTCATGTGTGCTGGAGACGCACAGACTGCCTCCAACTCCGGGGGAGCATTCTGTGTGTGTCACCGATGGAGCCTGTCCCTGTGCTGTTCCAGACGGCTGTGGCTTCGCTCAGTTCTGTGACTCATTGACATAACGAACAAGTTGTCTTCTAGCTTCTCCTGTCATCACACACTCGTCCCCTCGGGCTCGTCAGTTTGCCTGTGTGCTGAGGCCGTGAGATGAACGCCGTGCGGGACCCATGGCGTCCTGGTGAAGTGTGTCCCCAGACAGCTCGTGTTCCCGACGCTGGCTCTGACCCAGGTCCAACTCGGACTCTCCTTGTGGCATGTCCTTCTCCCCCTCCACCATCCCTGTGTGCATGTTTACGTGGGTTTGTCATAAACAGCTTTCAGCGGGACCTTACTTCGTCTCGCTTTATTTAGAACCCTGCTTTCAGCCAGTGCGCTGGTCCTCTCGCAGCTGCATGTAATCACACGTGTGTCTGGGTTGTTCTCGGTATCTTATTCTGTGTCTCCTGTTCACCTGCCTTTTCTTTCTCTTCCTTGTTTTACTGTCATAAGAACACACAAGCTCCTCGTGACAAGTTTTCAGTGCACCACACAGTGTGTGACCCTGGGGCAGGGTGGCGTACAGCAGGTCTCTAGAACGGACTCGTCCTGTGTGACTGAGACTTTGTGCCTGCTAGACGACCCCACCCTCCCCAGCCCCTGGCTCCCATCATCCCATCCTCTGCTTCTGTGACAGTGACGACCTGAAGTGCTTCAGAGAAGTAGAATCCTAGATTGTTGTCCTCCTGTGACTGTCTTATTTCACTCAGCACCACGTCCTCGAGGTGCCTCTGCATTGTCACACGTGGCAGGATTTCCTTGCTATTGAAGGCTGGTGATATTCCGCTGTGAGTACAGGTGATGTTTTCTGTGTCCATTCCTCTGCCAACAGACATTTGAGTTGTTTCCATATCCTGGCTGTCGTGAATGATGCTGCAGTGAACATGGGAGCAAGACCCATCTTGAGACCTTCATTTCAATTCTTCTGGATTTCTAGCTCCTGTGGTAATTCTATTTTTAATCTTTTGAGGGCCCTCCATACTCTTTTTCATAGTGGCTGCACCACCTTACATTCCCACCGACAGTACACATGGGTTCCGTTTTCTCCACGTCCTTGCAGGCACCTGTTATTTTCTGTTCTTGATAATGGCCATTCTGACGGGTGTGAGGTGGCATCTCAGTGTGACTTTGACTTGCATTTCACTGATGATATATTGAGCATCTTTTCATGTACCCCTTGGCCATCTGTATGTTTCTTCTGAGAAATGTCTATGCAGGTCCTTGGTCCATTTTTAAATTGGGTTTTTGCTATTGCGTTGTAGGAGTTCCTCATATATTTTGCATATCACCCCCTTATCAGTTCTATGGTTTGCAAATATTTTCTCTCTTTCCGTAGGTTGCCTTTTCACTCTGTTGATGGTTTCCTTTGTGTGCAGAAGCTTTGTAGTTTGATGTAGACCCAGTTGTCTGTTTTTGCCTTTGTTGCCTTGGCTTTTGGTGTCAAGTGCAAAAATCATTGCCAAAACTGATGTCATAAAGGCAAGGATGCCCACTCTCTCCACTTCTCTTCAGTACTGGAATCCTCAGCCAGAGCAATCAGGCAAGAAACAGAAATCAAAGCCATCCAAATTGGAAAGGAAGAAGGAACGTTATCTGTGTTTGTGGACGACTGATCTTTTAAGTAGAAAACCCTAAAGACTCCACAAAAAACTGTTAGATTTAATAAGCAAATTCAGTAAAAGAGCAGGATACAAAATCAACGTATAAAAATCTGTTGCCTTTCTGCACATCCACAGTGAACTATCCAAAAAGGAGCTTAAGAAAATAATGCCATTTACAATAGCATCAAAAAGAATAAAATACTTAGGAATGAAATTAACCAAGGGAATGAAACACTTGTATGCTGAAAATGATAAGACATTGCTCAAAGAAACTGATAAAGACACAAATACATGGAAAGACATCCTGCGCTCGTGGATTGTAAGAGTTACTATTGTTAAAATGTCCATGCTACACAAAGCAGTCTACAGATTCAATGCCATCACTATCAAAATCACAATGGTAGGGCCGGCTGGGTGGCACAGCAGTTAAGTTCACATGTTCTGCTTCGACGACACAGGGTTCACCTGTTCCAATCCCTGGTGCGGACATGGCACCACTTGGCAAGCCATGCTGTGGTGGGCGTCCCACAAATAAAGTAGAGGGAGATGGGCACTGATGTTAGCTCAGGGCCAGTCTTCCTCGGCAAAAAGAGGAGGATTGGCAGCAGATTTAGCTCAGGGCTAATATTCCTCAAAAAAAAAAAAAAATCACAGTGGTAGTTTACAGAAGTAGATAAAACAATCCTTAAATTCACGTGGAGTCACCAAGGACCCGGAACAGCCAAAGCAATCTTGAAGGAAGAACACAGCTGGAGGCATCAGCTGCCTGGTTCAAACTATCCTAAAGCTACAGTAATGAAGACAGTGTGGCGCTGGCATAGAGACAGACACACAGGCCAACGGAACAGAATCGAGAGCCCAGAAGGACACCATACGTATGCGGTCAACTGATCTTCAACATGGGAGCCGAGATTAGTCAACAGGGAAAGGCCGGTCTCTTAACAATGGTGCTGGAAAACTGGACATGTGCATGCAGGAGAATGAAAACGGACTCTTCTCTCACACCATCCACCCCACAAACCAGCACAGACTCACCAAGGACTTAAACGTGACACAGGAACCTGTGAGATCCCTGGAAGAAGACTCAGGGATGGCCTCACCTTTCTTATCCATGCCCGAGTTCCTCCTCTCTTCCATCTTCTTTCACATGGAGTAGCATTGTCTCATGTTTCCCAGCGTCCTGGTCTGAAAGTGGGATGTCCACTCGCATTAGTGTGTGGTCGCCCTGAAGTGCACCTGCATCCTCGATATGATGCTGAGGTTGGACATCAGGATTGTAACACAGTTGCTTACACGTGGCTTTTGCCCTATTTTGGACAGTCTCCTCAGCGGCGTCCTGGACATCAGATTGCTGGGTCAAAGTTGACGTTTTATGGTTTTTGAGATGTTTCTGTTGAGCATTTTTCAAATGACACCTTGCACCTCCCACGAGCGTGGCTGTAACACAGGCCCCTCCTCTTCTCTGCTCAGTGCCACCCCTTGGGAGGTCCCAGCCCTTCTCTTTGAGGTCATTTGTCCCCTCAGGCTGTCCTGCTGTGTAGAACTGGGGGATGCCTCCTGTGGAACTTGAGGACCGGAGGTCAGCCCAGGAAGGCAGCTTCTCAGCAGAACCTAGGCCGTGGCTGGAGCCTGGAGGCTACAGGGCCGGGGCGCCTCCTGCCTGAGGCTGGGGAAGCCCCCTGCCCTACAGCCTCCACCTTCATTTCTGGACTGAAGGTCAGATGCCCAACCCTGGGGCCCAGGAGGAGCCCCTCCATCAGCTGACGAGGGTCCCAGGGAGAGGCCGGTCCAGTGACTGTTCCCTATTGTCAGGCAGAAGCAAAGTCACAAGACGACACGTCATGAGCCATGAGGTGGGGATCGGTGGACAGGCCGGCTCCAACTGCCCACTAGGGTCCCGAGTATGCACAGTGGGTCACAGGAGCTGTCTCTGTGCCCCTCTGCCCAGCCTCATCGCAGCTCAGTGGCAGGCTGCGGCTTTGTGCCACCTGCAGGTTGCACGACACTGTGCAGCCTTCTCACTGGGAGTCCAGATGGGCAGGGGAGACTGGCCGGGACAGGCGAGCGCAGATCTCATGTCAGGGCTACTGTCCCGGGGCCTTGGTGGCTGGCTCGACTCAGAGGGTACATGGGATTGTCCTGGACACCACCTCGCCCTCCCCCGATGGGATGGGCTCCCCAGCGTCTCCAGCACTGGAGGGGCTCACAGATCCTCGGGGTCCGAGCCGGTGGCCTAGGTGGGTGAGGCGTCTTGGGCAGGCAGCCTGTGCCTGAGACCTCAGGGTCTTCATCACCAAAGTGCTGGCACCAGAATGCTTGGGAGTCAGATGTTTCCAACTTGGTTTTATTCAGGGGCTTCTGCTGTGTGTCCAGGAGCCGTCCAGGGTGTGAACTAGAAGAGACGCCACCGCCCATGGTAACTTCAGGAAACAGTGGACATCGGCACAATAAAAGGGCACTGCATGGTGTCAAGTGCTCAAGAGAAAACCGGAGCAGGGGACGTGGGGGGGTTTCAGTTTTAGGGGGCGGCCAGGAGGGCCTGGCCGAGACCACAGGTGGGCGGGGATCCCCCTCCTCCCATGGGAGGGACAGAGTGGGGCTTCCCCACCATTGGAGGGTCTCGTCGGGATGGGGAAGCTGATGTCCCTCCTGAGGAGGAGAGAGACATGATGGACACCTGGCTGGGGGGTTCTCTGGGCCATGGTGGCCACTGTGCCAGGGCCAGGCTGAAGGTTAAAGGGCGAGAGCAGGACGCAGGAGGGTGGCAGCCAAGGGGTATCCAGTGCTGGGGTGATGCTAAGCCCGAGCAGGGCCACCCCTCAACCCTGAGGGGCCATGTGCCTGGGCTTAGATTGGTAAGGACCTGGGCCTGTCGATGTCCAGTCAGTCCCTGTGGATCAGGGCCACGTAGAGGGAAGGCCATGGGCTTGCAGGACTGGCTGCAACCACGAGGTCATCCTGCTGCTCCTCAGTTCCATTTCCAGTGGCCGCACGACTGTAGAGGGAGATGGCAGATCTGGAGGGCCCCGCCTGACACCCTGAGGGGCAGAGGCTCAAGACTGAGTGGTGAGTTCTCACCCCGTCCCCCTACCACCTCCTTGACCCCCAGGTCCTGATGAGTGGGGCCCTGGCCCCAGCTGTCCACCCATGTCACCTGGCTCACGCCCCACTCTGGCACTGCGCATCATATGGCCTCGGACAGTGTTAATCCTTGGAACCTCAAAGCCCCACTCATAAGGAGGATTGGGCAAGAAGTGAGTGACGGGGAGGTGTGTTGGTTCCTGCCCTGCCAGGCAAACCTGGCACCCCACACACTGCCCGTGTCACACCTGGCCAGTGGGTGAGCTTTGGGATGGGGCCTGCACACCACACCTCCGTCTGCACCCCCAGCACATCCCGAGCAGGTGACAGTGCTGAGATGCTCTGTGCTCATAGGGAGGCAGCCAAGTCCGGAGGAGGAGCTGGACAAACAGGCACACGCACACACATACACATTCAGATGCGCACAGCACACACCTCACACACGCACACATGTGTACACTTTCACAGGTGCACATTCAAACACACAGCATATACCTGCTCACACACACACATGCACACACATTCGCACATTCACACCCACACAGCATATACTTGCTCGCACATGTGTACATTCACACATGCACGTTCATATGCACACGGCATGCACATCTTCATATATGCACACATGAGCATGCGTTCACACACGCACATTTGCACACACAGCATGCGTGTGCTCACACATGCACACATGAGCATACACACTTGAGCAGCACACATGCATGCACACACACTGGAGAATGGCTCAGCCTCTCTGTGAGGTGGGAGGGCGCTGGTTCTCATTGCCTCTGTGGGAGCCAGAGCTGGAGGGCGACCACCGTGCAGGGTGACGTTGGCATCAACAGGCCAACAGCACTCACAGCTGGCGTGGTGCCTGTGAGGGTTGTTCGCATTGGTGTTACTCTTATGAGGTTCTTTGTGTCACAGATGTACAGAGACTCCTCACCCACCACTCCCTGCCAGGTGAGAGTCCGTGTGCCAGCCAGCCACCCCCTTCCCTGTCCCAGGCAGGAATCGCTTGAGTCCAGCACCATCGGCGTCCAGTACCAGGAGGGAGTGAGAGGACAGCTGTCCCTTCGCTGGACAGGAGACCCCCGAGAAGATGTGCTTCTCTTTATGTCGAAGTACAGATGAGCCCAGGAAAACGTCACTCAGGGATCTGGGGACCTAGGTGAGCTGACTCTAAGTTCACATGGAGAAATCACTGAGCAAAAAAATCCAGGAAAACTCGAGGAACTGTCACCAGAGGGACGAGCCTGACAGCCATGAAAACACAGATGACAGTGTGATGCTGCCATGACCCAGAACAGCCTTTCCAAAGGGACATGTGTCCCGGGAGCCACTTACGACAAGTGACACATGCACCCCACAGAGTCAGGTGTCTCCATGGGAAATGTGCAATTGGAGTCAGAGAAGAGCACGGAACAGGGAAATGTCTGCCCTTCCGATTTCCTGAGTGGAGGGTGCTTCCGCAAACCCGCTCTTTAAAAGACCAAACGGCAAAGGGACATGAGGTGGAAGCTGACACCTGAGGGAGGACAGTGGCTCCTGATGACGAGGCATCCTATCACCTCGCTGCTGAGAGACATGCGGATGAAGCTGGGAAGCCCTTCAGGCTGCACCTGTCACCCCATGGCCTGGTGGAATGGCAGCACCCCGAAATTCCGCCCACTGCCCGGCACCCTGACTGCTCTTGTCCATAGCAGTTGGAGGCACTTGTCTCCTTTGTGAGCGGCTCTGCCGTCTCACACTGCCCACCTCGATGTGAGTGCAGGAGGCACAACTCACACCGCAACTGGTCAGTCAGGTGAGCATGACATGTTCCCTCCCCACTTCAGGCCATTTTGAGGACAGTGGCCACGGGGTGGGTGATGCTGGCCTCCCTTGGCTGTGGCCAAAGTTACACCAACCCATGAGTCTCAAGGGCAAGCTGGGCTCAGGCAACCCTCCCCTGGCTCCGTGGGGTGAGGGTGCTGCCT